GTGTTTTCACACATGTCCATTTCCAAAATGTCAGCTCTGCATCTTATGCGATTGCCCATGACGTAGGAAATTCAATAACCGCATCTTAGAAAATATGGAGGCTTGATAATGGAGGAAGACAAAGTGAAACCAACTTACTTTTTCTATCTTTTTGACTCTCTTTTCCTCCTCTTTCTCTCCCTATCTCTTTCCCATCTGAAACGTCGTGCAATCTTTCCCACGGATGAGTTTAATGGCATTAAGAGATATGCAGCTTGTGACGAGAGACAGGGATCTCACATAGTTTGGTTTGGACCGAATAATCCATGTACAGTAGGTGGTGTGCATACGGTGTGTGGATAGTCAACAACAGCTTCGTCAGCTTTACAAATGTTGGAATAAAGCCATTTAAAACTACTTATATCACTGCAGTCCTTCGGCCACTAGTCGAGGCTGAAGGCGCAGCATATCTCAGCTGCGCCTGCACAATCTGCAACACATGCACCAACACTTCGACGTGAGGTCACTGCATCTCTCGCCCTGTCACACATTCACGGAGGTTATCCACCCAACGAAACGTCAGGAGGGCAAACTCACATCAGCGGGGAGATTGACGATTGGGTAACAGGGTCCCCATTTCCATTGCATGTGATTCACCTTGATGTGCTCAATGCAGTTGGCAAATATAATGAACACACCTGAAGGAGAAATGCCACAACATAAAAAGAATCATTGTCAATTTCCAGCTTGTTCTTATCTTCCACAATTTGATGCTTTTTGCCGCTATTTAGACAAGTCCTCTGACACATTCAGCATCCCCCTTATGAACAAATTCTTTATTTTTTAACCATATCATCTGGAATGCCTATTTGGATGTAGCTGATTGTCACACAAATGAAAGTCATAAGTCAGGAATTAACAGATAACAATGCACATCAAGGACCTCTAAGTTATTCTCCTCTGCTCCTCTCCCTAGTGTTATTGAAACAAGCCGTGAAAACCTAACCAACGAAGATGCGGGTCGAACGAATTTTGTTGGGTAGTGACACATGTGTGGTGTTCCAACACTG